TCAAGTTTAGTTTTTAAGTATATAAAATACTTGGAAATAATTGTAGTCGTACATGAGCATTGCCCTCAGAAAATTATTATTCTGCTCAGGATAATAATACACGTGCTCATACATTTGAAGAGTATCATTGTTAAAAACTTATTTTTATAAAAACTGTTTATTCTCTTCGGGGTCAATAATTGTGTTTGCTGTTAAAAGAATCACTCGGTATACGAACACCATAACCACTAGTCACTACAAGTAAATCGGTGACTGTTTATTTTCTTTTTCGGAGAATTTTCCATTATTTCCAGATGCAGTGCGTTTAATGAACAATAGTTTTCTACTTGTTCCTAGTACAACTAGTGACTGTACTATGGTAGGTTTTTCTTATTTTACTTTCATTGTCCAGCGTACGAATTTTGCGTTTCGTGTAAATTGCATTTTCCGGACCTCCCAGATGGGATTAGTGTACCTACCCTAAATATCGACCACCTAAATTTAAACCGGTTATCGTTTCAGAATTGTATTATAATTTTAACACTGCGGTTGTAACTACAACTGTACAGTAATTTGTTTTTATTTGAAAGAAATATAATAATATAACATACAACTATAATAAATCCTATGCATGATGCAATATGAATATGAATTTTTTCTTTGAACTAGGAAGGTACAATATAAACCAATTAATTGTTTTTTAATATCAATATTTATCATAATAAATGAACGTACCTATTTTACAGAATGGTTTTCTGAAATTTCATGAGGGATGCGAATAATTAGAAACAAATAATTATTTCTCTACGACTCATTTTGTGATTTCAACTTTTTAATGGCTCATGCTAATGTAAATACCATAATATTCTGTATATGTTTAGTGTTTGCGAAGGTCTCAAAAGTCGATCACAAAGAATATAATATTCACATAAACGTTTTATGGTGTATTGTCTGGCGTTGAGAGTTCAGTTTATTTCGCTAAAACAAACATAATACTTTCAGCATAATTAAGTACCAAAATAACTATAATGTATGGTTGTGTACATTTCAATACTTTTGTATGACTTTCCACTGAAAATCAAATCTTGAACTATTAATAGAATATAACCAAAAAAAAAATAGAAATATAGATATTGAATTGTATGCACAAACATGAGTTATGTAATCGTACTTAATATTTATTATTTCTTTTCATATAAATTACATTTTTCTTGATTTCAATATGCTCTTTTTCATACAATCTCGACTTTTGAGTCAATAGAAGCAATTAGATAACAAATAAAAAACAAAATGGACTTAAATAAAATTACTTGATTTTGCATAATATTGTTAGGTACCTACCTACCTTTTTATTTTATATAAATACCATTTCTATTAATTTTAATAAATGAGTACATGTTTTTAACTGCAAGTGAATTGCATTTATTTATTCATTGAGTGGTGTTCTATATATTAGACTCTTAATGGTGTTCTGTTCTTGTCTTCTATATAATTTACATCTTTATTACAAAGGGCAAGTTACAATAATTTTGTTCTAAATAATATTGTAAACAACTATACATGCTAATATGTTTTTGAACAATTAACTGTTTTGTATATTAAATAAAAGTTTTAATTTGTTTTAATTGTTGTATATATAATATACAATATAGATGTTATATATAATTAATATGTAATTAACAATTCAAATTTAAAAAGTTTCCCTCATCGTCTTTATGTTATATTGTTGTGTTTTTCATTTACAATAATTAAAATAACCTTTTTAATAATTTATAAATATATTTAGTAATAATTAAGCAATTTAGTGCAAATTAATTTAATGTAAATTCTTTCTTTTTCCAATGTAAAAAAAATGTAACGCCGGCTAATAACCTTGTGGTTGATGTCTCTAACAGTTACTAAAAAAAAAAATAACCTTTCAGAATATAATTTTTGAAAAATGTTACTTTTTTGTAATAATTGTTCATCCAGATAAAATATTTAAATTATATCACTTCAATTTTGAATTATTTTTATACCTACGAGTTATATGAGTATATTCATAACACACTAGGCATGACAAAATAGATAGGTGTCACCAAAGTTTTTTGCTGCTCATCTTCCGCTGTTTACTCCACATCGTTATCTTAGTTCTCCACTTCGTATTGACTGTCAATCATAAATATATATATTATATAACACAGCACAAAATCAACCAATCAAAAGTTTTGAACTACGACATAGGCCGGGGGTGAATGAGATGCGAGTACTAAAAAAAACTATTACATCTGTGATGATATCACATTAAGATATGATACTATATTTGTAAGAAAGTGCATATATTTTTTTTGGTGATTGCGAAACGTAGTTTTGTAAGTACATAATTTGAATTATGTAACTATGAATCCATTTATACAATTTTTATTTTGCATTTTTTTGACATTTTTAATTGTTTATGTCATTCTTGTGCATTTTTAGGGCATATTTTCCTTTTTTAGTTTATTTTCCCGTATTTTTAATCAAATTCCATCAATTGGGGGGGGGGGGGATGTTTGAAAAAAAAAATTTGTTTCTACACACAGGCTGTATGTACGTCGATAAAATAAGGCAATTGCTAGATACCTACATGAGTTATTTGTAATCATCATCAGTGATGATAATACCAGCTATATATTACATTGAATATTACATACATCTAATTAACCATTCGTCATAGTGGTTACTCGTAATCATTAAGAGTGTATCATAGTAACAGTATATTATTAATAACAATAATATTATATTATGTCACCGTTTTGTTAACACTTAATTTACAACGAAAAGTAAACGACCATTAAGGACACCCGCCGGTGCCGGTGCCCTGCAGTTTGTCGGTTATACCGTCGCCTTTAGATTGGATTTAATCGCAGACTCTTATCAGACCGCTCGGCTCCGGTTCGTCTCGTATATATTATATCCGCACCGAAAATCATCGAAACGACGTTGTATAAAACGACCGCTCTCCGATGCGACGGTTCGACGGGCTCTGGATGCGACCAGACAAACGCGCCGGCAATTACTCGTTCGCGTAATAAAGACCGGGAAATTCGCCGATTCAATATATATATATCAACAACGACGATAAACGCGCGCGTATGATTAATGCGAGCTCAGAGTTGTCACTGCAAGCTGGAACGGGGCTAGTCGGGCGGCGGGCGGTGTGTGGACCGGCTGCTTTTGACGACGTTTCTGCGCGCCCGGCTGAAACGGGAGACCGGGATAAAGGTGAATTGTCCCGCGTCCTTTTGTCGTCGGATGCACCCCACCGCCCCTGCGCGCTCTTGATCTCTCCGCCGCCCAAAAAACTCGGGGTATATCAAATTTTCGGCCACTTCACGCACGAATAATAAAAGTAGTGGAGGAGAGATTAAATTGTTTTCAGACAACACTATAATATAATACGCCGTATACGTTATATATACGAACGCACACGCGCACGCGGACACGAGTGCACCGGTCTATATAATAATAATATGTGCACATACGAATTCGTATATATTTCGTATTACAATGCGTGCGTGTGTGCGTGTGTGCGTGTGTGTGTGTGTGTGTGTGGGTGTGCGTGTGCGTTCGTATGTATGCATAATAATATGTATAAATTCTATGGGCACCTATATATCTTTCCGCAGCCGCGTTTCGCGTACCAGCCACGTCTCGTTTCAAAGCGACGCGGAGGAGAGTCTCCGTGAACGAGTTGAATGATGAAAACCATTCTCGTCGCATATAAAAGCCCCGGGACGTCGAACGAGGAAAAAGTATTTTACTTTTCAGTCGCTTTTCGGTTCATTTTTCGTCCGGTCGGGTAGTGTTATTGTGAGGCTACGAGTAATAATAATTGAACTGTGAACTAAAATAATATATTGGTAAACGCCACAGTGATTATTTGTAAAAACATACATCATTTGCGTCATATCATCGCCTATAATATAAATATTCAACTGACTGTATAGTCTATATTCACTTGGATTATTATTTATGTATGAAACCAAGATGGTAATGTCCTCGATAAATTCTGAACACGACGCTTGATAGTACATACATTTATTTTGGGGATGGGGGAGAGCTTTGTGTACCTTGCACATATGCGTGCAACGATAAAAATGTAACTACATTAATCGTATTCTTTGTATTGAGGCAAAACATATTTTTAATACTACATTTTAACTGATTCAGCTCCTTTTGAAAAAATAAAAATACAAAAATTGTGAATACAAAAAATACATTTAATGTATAGACAGAAATAAAATAAAAATTTTAAAATGCGATCTTTAAATAAAATAAAAAACGAATTCATTTTTCGTTGCAAAAACAAAATGTGTTCACATTGTATATATAAATATCTATGAAACAATGTTATTATATTATTTATTAAATTGGTATTTAAAACCATTATTAAATTTCATGTAATTAATGTATCAAAAATCAGATAAAAATTAATGTATGCATTATAATATTATAACAAATATAATATAATGTATAATGAGCAATTACAAGTGTCACGTGACTGAGTGACTTATCATAACAGTTCGATAACTAATTTAGCATCTGGTCTCTGGATTACGTTTATTATTAATTGTATACATTTGTTAACAAATATTTTGTATAAAATATATTTATAATATTAAAAGTATAATATCTTATATACATCAATTTTAAATAATTTCGTATGATATGTTTTATTGGGATGCTGTGTATTCGTATATTTTAAATTGATAACAACTTCAATTCAATTTTATTTAACAAAACATTATTTGGTGTCTTGTACTTTTATTTCAATACGATACGTATTTTCACAAATTCTAAATAATTACTTATGCGTATTAGTAGAAAATCAAATTTAGTAAATCATAATATGAATTCTATTATCAGTGTTGCATTAGGTAACATTTTAAAACCAAAACCATCTTTTAAACCTATATACACTATATTTTTAGTCATAAACAAAGTTTCTTAAAATTATTAATGCCTACATTCGTTAAATTATGAGTAAATTTGTTTTACAGTATTGACGGACGATCCGAATTTCGCAGAGCCTATACCAAATGTTACAGTGTCGCTTGGGAGAGACGCATCCCTTCCATGTGTAGTCAACAATCTCGGCACGTACAAGGTAAGATGCCACGTACATATTATTATTATTAGTAGTGGTAGTATTATTATATAGGGGAAAGTACTTCATAAATCATTCCAGTGAAATGTATTTTCAAAAGATTTACGGCCGACAATTTTGGGTTACCTACGTGTATATTATATACCTGTATATTGACCAATCAAAAGTCTAGGTATATATTAAGAATATAAATGACTATCAGACTATTATATATAATATATATTTTGTATCCTACATAAGTGTTGGAAACAAAACGTCAAATATTTATTTTGATACGGTCTATTGGTATTATGGCGAAAAAACTTTTAAAATAAATGAGTGCATATTTAGTTATTAAAATACAAATTGAAGTATATTGCATAATATCAAGGATAATAATATAAAGACAATATTTCATTAACTGATCTTCATTCAGTTCCTAACACATTATACACAAAAATGTTGTGCCAACAAATCTTTAGTTCTAGGTTTAAGGCACTAAGAAATTTCTACTTAATTATCTAAATAATATACGAAATTAAGTTATTTATAATTTATTAAAATATTAAAAGCTAAGTTACAAACATTAGAAAATTAGAAAATGTTATAAATTCCACAGAAAACCTTACAAAACGGTTGAAATTCATATAATAATAGTTTATACTGTCTAATAAGCGGGTCTCAAAATTTCGGGAGTTATAATAAACTGGAAATAAATAATTGGGTAAACGAAACTTTTGGTGGTTTCCCGATCTGTCCAAAACTAAAATTGCAAGAGATTTTTTTTTTTATAACTTTGAAACGATTATATTTTTTTAAACTGTAAAATCCAAAATCAATGTTTACATTTTTCTAATGAAATCTCTTTTCCTTTATGATCCAAGTAAATGAGTAAAGCAATAGGGTATAATAAATTATTTGAACGGTGGCATAATTTTATATATAAAATGATACAACATTTCGGTTAGCTCTTGGTTTTATTTGATAAGCTGTGCAAACAACAAATGTACTTTAATCATATTTCAAAATACAGTTAACTTTCATCATGTCCAAATTCAAGGGGAACATAAAAAAGTTCTAGTTATTGAGTTTTATTGTAATAATGGAATGGTAATTATTTCAAAGGGGTTTTAATTAAATAAGAGATAGCCAAAAATGTAAGATATGGTTCGATAAAATATTAATCTACTGAATTACAATAATATTCAATATAAATAAAACCTATCCATTTCTTGGAAAATCAACACAGATTGAATGCGAATATTTAATATTTTGAAATTATCGTTGTGCCTTAGGTATTCTTAAAAATATAAAAAAAAATAGGATTAATTAACAATTATTAACAATCTGGCCATGTCACTTGCAACTATGATGTCAGTTGCTTTGTTGCTTAATTACATTTTTATAACACGGCGTATTAAATAGGCAAAACGAGTACAAAACGTGGCCGGATATTCTAGTATTTTATAAAATACGTCTTAAAACAGTTAAAACAATAATAAATAATTATTATTATGATACTGCTATACTATAATAAGTATAGCAGAATTATCAAGTTAATTTTTTACTACAATTTATAAATAAATATTTAAGATACGGGTTTTATTCTGATGTACCTACCAATGATATGAATTAATAATTATACAGAATTCGATCATCAAGTCATGTTTTTAATCGCTACTCTACCTATAAACCCATGATAAATTCAAACATATTTTGGGATTACTAGTATAAACTCTCTAAATGGCTGATATTGGACACATTTTTACAGAGGGATATTTGTACATTTATGAATTGAAAGCAAAATTATGAAAAACAGTTGTAGTTGACCGATCGGACTTGTACGGACGAACAATATTTACAGCTATAGGCACGATACATGTCATAGGTATTATGGCACATAGTAATAATTTTTAACCCACATGCCTGTCGACGTCAGCCTTCTCAATAGTTAATCACATCTAACATACATCGCACAGACCGTTATTTCCAAAATATCTTTAAAATATAAAGATATTTTCTCCACTGCAAGGAAAAACCTATTATTTAAATATCAAAAATAAATTCCATAAATCGCACTACTCCAACTATTTCAAAAATTGTATAATCGATCAGATAGTTTTTATTTTCTATTTTCAGGCATTTAAAAAAATTACCTATTGTTGGGTATAAATTGCAATTATGCTATATTTTATTAAAATAAATATATATTTTTTTTTATGGAGATTATACTTTAATTTAATTATTAAATCAAACGGTGCACGTAATAAATCTGTCATAGTAAGAATGACTATTAAAATATAAAAATGATTTCTAGTTAAATGATTTTAATTCAGCCAAACAACTATTGGCGATAATTTAGGGCAATTATTATCATCATGCATGCATATAATGTGCAACGATTTGGTACTTTATCCACTGAGAAAACATAATATTCAAGCTTAATAGCAATTGGTTATTGCTTGCAATGCAAGCGAAGTCACACAAGAAACGCATTAAAACATTGAAAATCATTGTAATTTTATCCAGGAGTAATTATGTAATTGTTCTTTTTACTATTTTAAGTATCTGATTTATTAATAGACTTGTTAAATAATTCAACTAAACTATACAAAATGTGTAGTGCTGTTATAATTTCAAAATAGATACCATGGCTATCGTATTATTGTTTTTATAGATACACATTTTTTTATTTGAATTACATTTGTAACGACAGCAAAGTACATAATAATATAACAAAAAATTAGGAAAATATCAAGCCTAGATTTTAAATAAAATAGTTAAAATAAAACCCAAAATATAATGAATTTGCTGTATATTCCATGTATTAGTTAATTTTTAAAATTATAGTGAATAATAAAATGTATAGTTATTACAATAATTATTTTTATCTTCAAACGTATAAATCACAATTTTTGAGAAATATATTATGTCTATGTTAAGAAAATTGGATCTCAAGTGTAAGTTAGTAAGGTAGGTAGGTAGATAGATATGTAAAGTGTTTGACTTATTTATATTCTATCAAGACTCACTGATTGAATACGTTCATCAACACTTTCCTAATTTTACTATCTATATACATTCAAGGGTCTAATATCCTCGTCACATAATCCTAAATAATAAAAATATCACATAATCTAAAGGCATGTAGTCTTAGGATAGGTAAATGAAAGTTAATTACATTTATTTGTCCGTAAACAAGGGTGTAATTATTGGCTTTATTTATATTCCATTTACGCTGGTTAAACTTAATTTTCATGTCCTTTGCTCTTGTATCTGTAATTATTTTTTATGTTTAAGTATACTCAACGAGTTACGGTAGAATCAACTTTTAGTTCCAGTTGAAACATTTAAAAATAATTTGTACTCGTCCTTTTTATATTGTCTATACAGCTAATTGTTGTTCACAGTACACACACGGTCACACTCGTGTTTGTTGTGCTTTTATCATTTCATTATTTATCTATTGTGATTTTTTGAATGTTGTGAAGTTCTAGTTCTAGGAACGACAGGGCGAAATGTTATACAAATTAAATGTGTTTTACAAAACATTTCTAAATGATATATAGGTAGTTTGGAAAAAATTATACAAGCGACAAGTGTAAAAAAACAAATAAGACATATTGATTTTGTGTAAATCCCGTCGATGTCATAAATTATTGAATAATTATATTCTATAGTTCAGTACAATTCTTTGAATAAATTTTGTTTTTTAAAAAGTCTCAAAAACGTAAAATTTCCAATTCAAAACTAAATGTATTGGGATGGCACGTATCGTGTATGCATCTACCATGTATATGATCTGTATTTGGATCATGTACAGGCATGCAACGTATCCGGATGTGGTCTTACAACAGAGTTCGACGTTACCCCATATCAACCTCACTTGTGTGGTCACGTACCGGACTCGGGCTTGAATACATATGTTTTCGTTAGCTGGACAAATTGAACCGTCTTCCAGGAAAGGCCACGTATAGATTTAAAAATCTTATTTATTTATTTTTTCATTCACGAGGATTTTTACACGCTTACGCTGCGGCGGCGCAAAAATCAATAACACACCATATTTTAATATTATACTTTTACTTTTTTTTTTAACAGAAAATACCATTATTAAATATTGTACACTTAATGTTCTTATTTGATAAGAAAAAATGATAACCATAATGCATCAAATTGTGTTTCTAAAGAATTATGAACTATTATTTTAAGAGATTTGTATTAAATATTAACTTAGCTTTATGGTCATGAAAAAAGTTAAAAATCGATATGACGTCAAAATAAGTATATGATTAATCTTTTTAAAAATTCATGCGCTCTTAAATATTGTTTACAGTCGATTGTGTTCAAAATTAAATGGTAGAAAATTTGTTTCCCTGAAAACTCCATACATATTTCAAAAACTCGAAAATACTATACATTATATTGAACGATGAGACAACATAATTTTAAGTCTTCAAGCTAAAATATAAACTGAAAGATTCATTCGATATGTAAATAGTTGTGTTTGGTATGTTAAATTTCATTTAAATTAAGTCAATACGTATTTAAATAGTTTAATTAAAATGATAGCAAAAATAATTCACGGTTTAATTTATTTAAAAAAAAAAATACAGATAGTCATTTAAATAAAAAGATCAATATCATGTTGATGTAACTAAATAAAATACTAATATAAATTTAAAAATACAATATAGCTCGTTAGTATTATTAGACAATATTTTAAAATTATATTGCATTATAAATTACGTGCTTGTTATTGTTGTTTTTTTCCTTATTTTATGTTCAACTGCAATCGCATACTTCGTGAATGCGGGGTCATGGGGTTTGTAAATATACATGTTTTAACCAATTACCCAAAGCTTAACCACCGGCGCTTTAAAACTGTGCTTCTAAGTGAAGGTAAACGGCCAAGGATTATCTTTTCACATAAATCTTTCGTTACAGTTGTAATCCAAAAAAAAAAATCCCTAAACCTAATAATCAGACATGAAATTAAGTTTTTGGACATTTGCATCAAA